ACTATTATCCGTTATGACAATAAATTGACAACTTGGACCGATAACGGTAATGCGATATATATATATAAAGAAGTTTGGGAATTAACCAAAATTACATAATAAAACACATACATACACAAATAGAAGTTATAAAAAAGCAAACGAAAGGTTTATAGAAAAGTCTCATTTGTTCACCTCATTCTCACTCACTGAATGAACAATATGTGGATGTTTTCTGACAGATAATCTTTTTTTTTTTAACATCAACATGGGAATTTAAAATAGTTCAATTGAAGTAAATTCGGGAAACGTCAACAGAGGATCAGACAATATTGGATAATTCGAAAAGAGTGAAAAGAATTCAAATAAAAACACCAGAAGAAGAAAAATAGAATCTGAGAAGCTAAATTAAAAGTATTGGCTTTTAAAGAGAGTTGAACTAAATTAAGTTCGGGAAATGGTAACAGAAAATCAATTAAAGGTTTAGTGCATTGGGTAGCTACAGAAATAATTAACTGGTACATTGATGCCTCTATGAATCATGAATCCTGCAGTGTAGCATGTTTATTTTATGCTAGTTAAAAATATAACAAATGTTTCTGAATTTAAAGTTATGTATTTTTTTTAAAAAAACAATTCAAGAGTTATAGCAAGTTAGTTAACCCGGGTACTTACCGAGTAAAATTTATCATTTTCTACTTTTTGCTAAAATTCCCCTAATTGTGTGTAATAGTAAAAACCAAATCAAGAAGCCTGTACTTTCGTCTGGACTTACTTAATCCCTTTGCTCTCATAGAACAATTTCGTAATCTTAAGAAATTTCTTCATTGTACGACTTTAGTAAAATCATTGCTAAAATCTTCTTGTCCACCTTTTTGTTTTATCTAAACATCTTCAAGGGAAAAGATAAATAAACAAAAAATATAAATAGAAACTTTCTTTTTGTAAATTGTGATACGATAAATATGTTTTTTGCTTGGTTTATTGTAAATTATCTCTGTTTGTTATGAAGTTAAGCTCCAAGCTACACAATAGGCAACCTTGCTTTGGCCACCACGGATATCGAAACCCGGGTGCTAGCGTTGTAAGTCCGCAGACATACCGCTATGTCACTGGAGGTCTATTGTAGATTACACCATATTATGGTAAATGTTAACATGAATTCAGGTGTGCTCTTACTGATGAATAAACAGAAATATAAAAGTTGCGCAAAATCTTAAATCGTTATTTCCCAAGGCATCTTAATTTTACTTTTGCATAATATATTCCACATCTTCGTATTTTACTGTTACATCACCGAAGTTGTTAAAAATACAAAATAAAATAAATATTTCTAATAAATCAACATGAATATTGAGCATTCAACATAAACACCATCATTAACTATAAAATTTGCTTTTTCCCTCTGACGCTCCTTTTTCTAGTTTGTGTTTTTAAACATTCTACAAACTCTATATGGATGTAGGAAACATATCTTGTCATTATATACAGTGTCTTGCAAAAGTCTTCATCCCCTGTGCTGGTAATAAATCTTAGGTATTTTCTTATGAAAGACGCAACCCAAAAATATTTTATATTAATCTAAGACCAGTTTCTAAAGATTAAAAAGAAAAAAAGGTGCGTCATTACCCAATTTAGTGATATAACACTAAAAATCTTGAAAACACATGTTGTAAAAGTCTCCACCTCTCAACTTTGCATGTTCGGTGTGACGGGTATTCGAACCCGCGACCTTCAGTGAAAATGGAAGTCTGCAATTTGCGATTCCGGTAACACTACAAAAGTTCCATATTGTAGGTGGCTCTGCGTCAAGGCACAAGGTAGTGTGTCATGCTGTCAAAATAACCTGCTGTAGAACATACTGCGTGTTATTAACAGGAGTAATAGTTTAGCGAACTTCGGACTGTGGTAATCCAAACTATCGCATATTTTCAGTTAATGTGCTCTACTGGACTGTTATTTCACATACCAGCTTTCAAGGCAATTTGTTAAGAAATACCCGAGATATAAAACCGAAAATTTTAATTGAATATCTTCCTATTTTTCTTCACGCCAAAAGTACGGAGACTTTATTTGATAGAAAACATACTTAACTCTTATGGATTTTTTTCAAATTTGGTACACTGACAGATCTTTTCAACCTACAATTAGGAGTCTCATTTGGTGTAAATGTAAGAGACATTCTCAAAGTTATTCAACAAAAATCGCTCAAATTTAACGAGAATTTTTGCGTACGCGAGCTATCGGTCTAACAATTTTTAATACAGCTTCATCTAAGAGTAAAAATGGACCGGTTTTAGTTTTTGTCATTCGGATTAAAGACGGTTGATTTAGAGCAGTAAAATTATAAGGTGAAAGGACGTACTGATACATAAGTATTAATTAGGACAAACAAACTAGATTAGCAGTTTCTCGCTCAAATTGTCAAAAGCATCATACGGGTGGACGGTTATCACTGATTACTCATTGCCAACTACAAAATTTACTAAATTTACTGAAACTGTTCTAATTAAGGCTTTTTTAGCGTCACGCGATATTAATTTAAGCAATTAACATAAATATAGACGCTTGATACGGCTGTACCGCTTGCATGACAAGTAACTGTTAATCTAAATTCCATGGCGTTACCATAAAGAAAGCTTTTGACATTGTTTTAGAGAAGAAAAAATACTACCATATATTTTAAAGAATCTGGTTGGTTCTGCAAAGTAAATATGTGTTCCGAATAATAGGTTGTGATCCTAAAGGTAATGTTGGTAACTATCGCGTATAACTTTCTTACTTGCTGTGGTTTGTTAGTGTGTATTGACAAAAAGTCGTGATATCTAATAAAAAACACCTTAGGTGTGGCAAAGAAAGGATTGAGTGTACGACTTAAAAGGATGAAATCAAAATTGGCGGCCAAAGTGGTAGCTACACTTATAGCATTGATAAGAATTTTACAGCAAAAATTCACATAGCATTGATGAGAATTTTACAGCAAATATTCATTCATTAGTTAGCCAGGTCACGTATTTTGTTTTACCCACCATCATGCCTCAAGTTGAACAAAAAACGCGGCCTGGCTAACTAATGAATGAATATTTGGTGTAAAATTCTTATCAATGCTATAAGTGTAGTTACCAGTTTGGCCACCAGTTTTGGTTTCATCCTTTTAAGTCGCACTCTCAATCTTTCTTTGGCCACACCTTTTTTCGCACTTAAGGTGTTTTTGATTAGATAACTGTTTGCAGGTATAGATGGCTCTACATTACTGTCTGTAGTTCAAAGTGGCTTTGCATAATTCTCTATATTTATTTGTTCAACATAAATAAAACTGGTTAAAAATAGCTTATTTTTTGTTGTTGTTTTATTAAGAAACTAACACTTGTATAAAACAACGAACTTTCGTACATTTGACTAATACTGAAATATAAACAGTTAGAAATTGTCAAAAGTTTAATCGAAGTTTAATGACGATGAAATAATTTAAACTGATGTAATTGGAAGAACATGTGAGTGAAAATAAAAATAATATGAAATAATTTTTCAACCACACTGCATCTGCGAAATGCAGTGCCGACAAGGCCTTTTGCCTAATATCATGGTTTATAAGGCTGGTTGGGATGCAATAGACATAGTAGCGATCTAAACCAATGCTTCTCACCTGGGGTTCCGAGAGATATTTGGGTTCCACATATTATAATGTGTAAATACATACTAGTCACATAATTGCAATCCGACTACATCATATTTATTTGTTAATAAAGTGGGTTTCATAATGACACAGCATAACAGTTCACTGCATTGATTTAAATTAGTCGAGTCATGTAAGCTTATTATTTGAGAGATCACACTTATCGTTGGGTGTGCGTGTGTACCCGAGTAATTTGCTCAAGAAAGTTTTCATGTTTTGCTTGTATGTGTGTGGGTATATAGCTGCATTTAACATACTTACTCTGTCTGGAACTATAGATATAGTATTGGAATACTGTTTGTTTCTTTGTTTTTAATGAACACTGTGAAAGGTTCCATAACAACAATTCGACGACAGCAGAGATTTAAAAAGGTTGAGAACCATTAACGTAAACACAGAACAAGTTGGTCATGTTTATAAAGGTTATTACAAAAGAAGTACAACAAATAATGATGGTATAATGATTTGAACCTTGAACCAAAACTCCAATCTATTCGAACCATCTTACTGTTTTTCACATTTTTACTTTATAAAAACTGTTCACAAAATTATCTAGTCACATTTTTCTGTCTTCAATGACACCACCGCTAATCGAGATGCACGTCTTCATTTTGAACCTTCAATTTCACCTCCATTCTCTGTCTCCTTTAAAAATAGTAAGATAAGTTTAGCAAGTTAAACTAAAGTAATGAGCAAAATAAGTAAAAAATAAAGAATGAAAACTGCATTATAATCACAATATTTAATAGAAATGTAATATAGGAGGATTTTAGAGATGAAACAAGATCATCAGGTTAGCTAGATTACAGTAGGAATCAACTAAGTTAAGCTGTGTAGACATAGACCATCACGTTAGCTAGATTACATTAGGAATCAACTAAGTTAAGACTGAGTAGACATAGACCATCACGTTAGCTAGATTACAGTAGGAATCAACTAAGTTAAGACTGTGTAGACACAGACCATCATGTTAGCTAGATTACAGTAGGAATCAACTAAGTTAAGCTGTGTAGACATAGACCATCACGTTAGCTAGATTACAGTAGGAATCAACTAAGTTAAGCTGTGTAGACATAGACCATCACGTTAGCTAGATTACAGTAGGAATCAACTAAGTTAAGACTGTGTGGACAGAATATACCCAAGATCTCAAAAGTAAAAGAATAGTAAAATGGTCACGCTACAATACAAAATCCTGCATAACTTGAGCTGATTTCATATACTTCTGGCCAAGTTCCATAGCTCAACAGTGGTAAAAATTATTCATGATGTCAGAAAAACACGTAGGTTCACGAAGTCTTAATAGAAATGAATAAAAACCCTATAACCATTCTTGTTCAGGGGCAGACTAGGAATGGTGGTGTAATCGAATGAGTGATATATATATAAAGGGAGTTTAGTGACGTCATGAAGGTCATGCGGTTTTCACGAAATATCTAGTATATTTCTCTATGTACTGTTGTAAGCATCTCATTACCGGTACAGTGAAGCCTATAGAGATAGTGTATGTGAAAAGATGTTAGGGATGTTTTACTTTACAGAAATGGCTAAATATGTGTATATTTAAAACTATACTTACGTGTTTAAGTAAAATAAAGGTGACACCTGGAGACTGATTGAAAATGATATGTGATGCTAATTAAATTATAAAAACAGGTATGGAAAATTATCTTAAATAAATAGTAAGTTTTAGGAAATTCAGCGTTCACATTACATGTAAAAATAATCAAAGAATAAAAATTATTTTTCTGACAGAGACGAAACCAATGAACGGAAATCACTGATTCCAGGCTCTAGATTAATTCCGAAAGGTTGAACAGTGTTTAGATTAGCGATCCAATAAGCTTCTTTTATTTCTCTATCAGCTTTAGTTTCGAATCCTGTTTCAATGCAGATGAGAGTAACATCGTTAATGGAATGACCGGGTTGGTTAAAGTGTTGAATGGTAAAAATTATATATGTAAACATGGTTTATAAACAGATTGTAAACACTAACAATTAGGTACTAAAAATTTCAATCCCAGCTGTTTATTGTGTTGATCATTTCTAGCCTCATACATTTATTTATTTTTGTTTTACTGATTTACCGTTTTCAGGTTTTCCGCCAGTAAATAGAATAATATCGAATAAATGTTTGTCTACAGTAATAAGGATAAATAAGAATTATAAGTCGGTAACACAATACTAAATTTGTATATAAATTTATGTAACAAACAATGACACCAGACGCATTCTTAATTACACGGATAGGAAATAACTTTAAACAACCACATTCTAAGACTTAATTAACTCAGTAAAATAATTCGATAACGAGGAACGAGGATGATGACAAAACCTTGTCGAAACGTTGTACATTTGCTGTTATGTTAAACTTATATTAAAGTTTTTCTTCATTACCCATTCAAGCCGTCTCCAGCCATTACAGTAAAATAATATTAAACTTGCAGATTTTTTTAGTATCAAGAATAATGTCTATATCACTTTATTTCAAATATATAAAGAAAAATGGTAGAATGATGCTCAAAATCACATATTCCCTTGTAGATAAAGTTAATCAATTTATTTACTCTTACCTTCCCTTGTAGATAAAGTTAATCACTTTATTTACTCTTACCTTCCCTTGTAGATAAAGTTAATCACTTTATTTACTCTTACCTTCCCTTGTAGATAAAGTTAATCAATTAATTTACTCTTACCTTCCCTTGTAGATAAAGTTAATCAATTAATTTACTCTTACCTTCCCTTGTAGATAAAGTTAATCAATTAATTTACTCTTACCTTCCCTTGTAGATAAAGTTAATCAATTAATTTACTCTTACCTTCCCTTGTAGATAAAGTTAATCAATTAATTTACTCTTACCTTCCATTGTAGGTAAAGTTAATCACTTTATTTAGTCTTACCTTTTTCTCATCATCCGAACCCTCATTGGTAGACAATCCATTAATAAACCCGTTAATCCCGCTGAGAGTGCGATTGACTACATCCTTTAGAGCTTCTGTGGAAACATCAGAAGTTTTTAAATGTTTCTTGAGGTAAATACTTCTCATGTTTCATTACAAGTCTTAAATGTTTGTTTATTGTTAAGCACAAAACTAGACAATGGGCTATTTGTGCTGTGCCCACCCCGGGTATCGAAACCCGGTTTTTAGCGTTATACGCCATCAAACTTAAAGCTGAGCCACTGGCGGAGGGAGGGAATAAGATTTAATTTTATAAGGTACAACAACGTTGACAATAAGAATAAGGAAATCAGAGCAACATGATCGTACTTTCGTTAATTATACAATGATAAAATATTTATTTAGTTGTTCTCCATGCAGAGTAACCACATGTTTTTATTTCTTTAGAGGTGATCAACTCAATGTTATGTACACACACAGGATCAGTGAGGTATCAATTGTGGCATAACTTATGTTTCACCTATTATCAGACATTTCATTAATAATACTTCTCAGAATTATTTCATCTTAATCTTTCGTGAAAATGCTAAAACTGAGTTAGTTTTAGAGAGAAAGTAGTTGAAGTAACGCTTCACTATATTGAAAGATTATATAAGTATTAATTATTCTTAGAGCTTCTCTTTCTCAATTCAAACTAAATTAAGGGTTGGGTGTGACCGGATGGTTATACTGTCTAGACTGTGAATCTGAGGTTTATAGTTCGTATCCCGTTGTTGCAGAAATTCGTTCCGCATTTTGGGGCCTAGGAGTGTTAAATATAACATTGACGCCCAAGAAAGAGTAGCCCAAAACGAGATGGACGCTGTTTACTAGCTGTCTTCCTTCTAGTCTATCAATTCAAAATTAGAAACAGCTATGCGCAGACAGCCCTTGCGTAGTTTTGCGCGAAAATTTAAAATAATCATCTAAATTAAGTTTATTATTCTTTTCACCAGTTATAGAACATGTAATTCCAGCATGGATAAATGTAGCAACAACAAATAAATAAATTACAAAGAATATTAAATTCAGTAATTACTAATAGGGTTCCCAGATCAACAAATTCTCATTTCATGCACAGTTATACAGATATACAACCAATCCACGACAGGCTTTTACATTGGTCCTTTAAGTATTTTGATAAAAATATGTATAATAATAATTTATTAAGTTAAATAGGTCGCTGTATCATACCCGATGATGATACTACTACTCAATATCTAAATTAATAAAATGGCGTGTCTGTTTATCTCTGTGTGCAACAGCTATAGCTCCAAGAGGAAAGAACATAGAAACCTGAAATTTTGCACCCTCACTAAATGGACCCTGAGGGTGTTCACCTGGGTACTATTACTTATCTAATCCACGTGCGTGTGCATCTTTTTAATGCGGCGAAAAATCACTTTAAAAGGAAGTGGTTCCTTATATAACAACTTCTAATATATAGAAAAGCCAGTGTGTCTTGGTAACAATGCGTTCCAACAATGGCTTGTATGTCATATTGCTTAGCTACAAAAGTATACAGGTTATACTTTTATGCTAAAATGGGTTCAGAATATACACACTAACATAGTCATCTAGAATATATCAACCTAGAAACCTAAAATTCGGCACCCATACTAAGCAGACCCTGAGGGTGTGCACCTGGGTATTATTTATCTTATCCACGTGCGTGCACGCATGTGCATTTTTTAATGAGGCAAGCTAGTGAAAAACCACATAGAAAAAAGTGGTTCTATATATTACAGCTTCTAATATATAGAAAAGCCAGTGCATTTTGGTAACAATGCGTTCCAACAATGGCTTTTTTTACCATGTTGCTTAGCAAAAATGTATATAGATTATACTTTTATGCTAAAATGGGATCAGAATATATACACTATCAACGTAATAATCCGAGCGAAACCAGGTACTTTCGCTAGTGTACAATAAGAAAGTCCACCTACACTAGACAGTAATATTTCGCTTTGATTGAATTATCACAAGTATTCGAAAAGGTTTTTATATGACCAATACGCGTTTGGTAAATAATCGAGTTAAAAAAATTACCATTTGTTCATTAAACTGTTTACGAGTTTTAAAACGACCAAATAAAGAGAAGTGACAAATTAGCACTAAATGCTATAGTGTAATATTCGCCGACATGGCACTGAAAAGAGGGAAGATAGAGTGAGTGTACATTTCATGTACGCTAACTTCATAAATATTAAATATATCATTTGACAGTTTACATAAAAAACAGTTAAGGAGGAAGGAAAAGGTCTGAAAAGAACCCGACTCTCTCAACGCGCACGCTACGACACGACCACATCCAAATCAAGATATATAGATATACACACATATGTTATTTTTGGCTAGTTGCGGTTTCAGTTTCGACATAGGTAAGTGAATTATCTGATTCGGCATAATTGTAAGATAAGAGTTCTCAGAAAAGTTTCACTAATTGTGGCATTTTACTTGAATCTTTTCCCTTACATATTATATGAGTATGTAAATATAACGTTAAATACATGATATGTTAAAATTATGGAAGTCGCATTTAAATATCCTCTTTAATGATGATTATTATGCTATGTTTGAATACCATACTTCCTATACACATCGAACAATTAAAATTAAAAAATCATTCAGTAACTATAGCACAATATTATTTACAAATGGTAATATTACTTCTGAGCTGCTATATCTTAAGTGGTTTCTTTGAGAAGGTGGTGTATTTAGCTTGGCACATTAGCTCGGTCTATAATGACATTGGATTATCATTGAAGTACTGCATTACTTACTAAAATCAACATATTAGTTGAAACTGTTAAAATCTGTCGAAGTAATTCATTAATGTACAATTAATTTTCATACAGAGGACTTCACTGAAATAATATTGAATTCGGTGGGCTTTAAGATTGTTTTACAATGACAGAGAAAAGAATGCTATACCAGGTTTAAACTTACCTCCAAAATTTTTTACGTAATCTGATATTTTACTAATGCCCGAATCAGGATCATCAGAATCAAAGAACTTTTGAATGGAATCCAAGATTCCGGCTTCCATCACTTCAATTTCTTTCTCTTCCACAGTTTCTTCATCATCTATACTCTGTTGCTCTGAAGATTGGCCTTTTTTCTCGTCACTCTTAACCTCATTGTCTTCATCAGATACTGGAGCAGACCAAGACTGGAGAAGCAACGCTAGCAGAACACCACATACAAGAACTCCACGTCGAGTTTTCATGTTGATCCTTTTAAAGTCAATAACTTGAAAAACAACTGTTTTAGGTTTTTAAAATCCCAAACCTTTAACATGACTTACCACCGATTCAAAGAACAATATCAAAGAAAATTGATTTTATAAAGTTGAGAATAAGAACAATTTCTAATTTGTAATACTGTATGTTTAAATGTAGCATCAAACAACAGTCGTAGCGGTTTCTGATGTTTAAATATAGCATCGAACAACAGTCGTAGTGGTGTCTTATGTTTAAATGTAGCATCAAACAACAGTCGTAGCGGTTTCTGATGTTTAAATATAGCATCGAACAACAGTCGTAGTGGTGTAATGGTGTCTGATGTTTAAATGTAACATCAAACAACAGTCGCAGTGGTGTCTAATGTTTAAATGTAACATCCAACAACGGTCGTAGCGGTGTCTGATGTTTAAATGTAACATCCAACAACGGTCGCAGTGGTGTCTGATGTTTAAATGTAACATCGAACAACAGTCGTAGCGTCGTTGTCTAATGTTTAAATGTAACATCGAACAACAGTCGTAGCGTCGTTGTCTAATGTTTAAATGTAGCATCGAACAACAGTCGTAGCGTCGTTGTCTAATGTTTAAATGTAGCATCGAACATCAGTCGTAGCGGTGTCTGATGTTTAAATGTAGCATCGAACACCAGTCGTAGCGGTGTCTAATATTTAAATGTAACATCGAACAACAATCGTAGCGGGGTCTAATGTTTAAATGTAACATCGAACAACAATCGTAGCGGGGTCTAATGTTTAAATGTAACATCGAACAACAGTCGTAGCGGGGTCTGATGTTTAAATGTAACATCGAACAACAGTCGTAGCGGGGTCTGATGTTTAAATGTAACATCGAACAACAGTCGTAGCGGGGTCTGATGTTTAAATGTAACATCGAACAACAGTCGTAGCGGGGTCTGATGTTTAAATGTAACATCGAACAATATCTTTGTTGTTTGATATTACATTTAAACATCAGACAGACCTGTTGTAGTTCTGTTTGATGTTTAAATGTCCCTAGATATAACATCATGCAGTATTTGCACAAGTAAACTGAGATGCACTGGACGCTTGAAAATGGCTTAGCTGTCTTATTAGTTGTCATTTTGAGATATACTTTTAACTATGCAAGCTTTAACATTGATAAAATTTTAATATTAATCGATTGTTTAAGTACAAGTTTTATCTGTAGAAAGTATTAAAATGATTTTGTATTTTCTAATTATAAACATAAATAATAACACTAAATTATTACACCTAGGGTTGTATAGACTCCAGTCGAATTCCTTTACCCTTTTTGTTAAAGAAATCAACACAGTACAATTTCAATTATTTTAACTATGAGCGAATTTTAAAATATCAAATGATCGAACTGAGAACTTTAAAAGATAAGAAATAATGTTAATACGTACTGATATCTATACAGATGTGCGAGGACGGCGGGGCTAATATGTGAGATGTAGAATCAGTGATACAAGAACTTTATACTTATGTTAAGATACGCCACCTCATACTCCTATTGGCCAGGTAGAGTAAACTGGTCTGTAGCCAACCGACAATAAAGCAATGAGGTAAAGTTAGTGGCTAAGCTTCTTTTTCACGTGCGCACGTTTAATATCGGGTTCATCGTAGAATCGAAAACTTCAGAACGAAATGAAAAACGGAATTTATTGACAAAACATATTCGGAAAAAAAGAACGGTCGTCCAAAATCTTAAACAATAAATGTATTTTTGTTACACGTGTGTGGAACTTTCTATTCATGTTCTATATCTATACAAAAAATTGTAATTTTAAATAAAGAACAAAACATCGACAAACGCAAAATAATGGAAGCTGTCTTAATTGAACAAAATAGGCCTACTCTAAACCAGCACCCCGGGTTACCAAAATACCTTTACTAAACTGTTAATCATTCTCCGGTCATGTGACCTCTTTGTTCCATACTATATATCTATTCATGTACCTAATGATGACATAATCTAAAGTCATACCTGATAATGGCATAATCTAAAGTTGCACCTGATAATGGCATAATCTAAAGTTGTAGCTGATGATGGCATAATCTAAAGTTGTACCCGATAATGGCATAATCTAAAGTTGTAGCTGATGATGGTATAATCTAAAGTTGTACCTGATGATGGCATAATCTAAAGTCGTACCTAATGATGGCATAATCTAAAGTTGTACCTGATGATGGCATAATATAAAGTTGTACCTGATAACGGCATAATCTTGTCAAAATATTGTGCATTTATAATCATGTTTTCTTCATTACCTATTCAAGCCGTCTCTAAACTTTTCATGGCCAGGTGGTTAGGGCAGTTGACTCTCAATCTGAGAATCGTGGGTTCGAATCCCCGTCCCACCAAACATGCTTGTTCTTTCAGCCGTGGAGGCGTTGTAATGTGACGGTCAATCCCATTATTTGTTGGCAAAGGAGTAACCCAAGAGTTGGCGGTGGGTGGTGATGACTAGCTGCCTCTCTTCTAGTCTTACACTGCTAAATTAGGGATGGCTAGCGCAGATAGCCTTCGTGTAGCTTTGCGCGAAATTCAAAACAAACAAACTTTAAACTTTTAAAGTCAATAATTTGTTGCCGGGACAGAGTGGGGGGAGGAGAGGCGACGACAGCTTCTCGCATAAACCTCCTTTCGGTTTTAAGGGATTTTTTAAATGTAAGAAACAATTAAATGTAGTACGGGTATATAAAGGTGCTAATTTGTCACCCATATGTTTAGTGTAGAATATTAGAGGACTATACGTAACTTAACTCTGATTGGAACTGGAACTATTAAAAATTACTATATATCGTCTCAAATGTTACAACCCGATGAATGAAAACATTTATAACAGAATTATGAACATTTCACAACCGTACATTTTTTCTAAACCGGTTTACGCAGTTCTAATATCAGCTTTAAAATTAACAACATGACTAGTAACCCATCAGAAAATTTGTAATATTTTGAATTTGCAAAATGTGTCCTTCAAGAATGTAACGAATAGTAGGAAACTACTTCTAGAGTTTTAAACATGCTTTCGAGACCCCCTCACCTGGTGAGATCCGGACCCCTCGCCTGGTGAGATCAGGACCCCCTCACCTGGTGAGATCAGGACCCCCTCACCTAGTGAGATCCGGAAGGCTTCCCCTGAAAAAAGAAAATGTTCGTTCATGCGTCTTAAATTTTTAGCTCTTTCCCCCAGGTTAAAATTTGTTCCTACGCCAAAGTGTAATCACAAATTTTATATTTTAGTTGTTAATTAATACTAAATCTATCTTCTCAACATTTTATTTTAATCAGTATATTCCCAAATATCCAGTAATTAATGAAGCTTGTAGTCAGTAAGAATAGTTTTAGAGTACTGCCTACATAAACAGGAAGATAAATTTACTGTACGTGGTGAACAGAAGGGTGGGTGTGGTTTTTTCAGGAATACATTGACAGTACATACATACAAACAAGTTTCAAAATGTTGAACATATAACACGCAAATATATTTATAATAATAGTGAATTTACCGCGCAATATTTGTCGCTTGGCAACATGATAATAGCAGATGTGAGTTTATTAAACATATATTACTATAGAGCTCAGTGGTGTAGTGATAAAATTGTTTGTGCCGGTGCGCAAACTTCATCCTAATCACTTTCTGTGCCTTGAATAATATGTTCACATATCGGCTGTATTTCAGGTACCTAATTTGTTTATAATTTCCAATAATTTATATAACCAACTAGCATCTCCGAGTCATAAATATACGGTTGATAAATTGATACAAATGATGAATTATCTGCAGCTCCACACCATAAAATATATATTATTTGTGATAACTTACCTGCAGCTTATATAGAATCTTCACAAAATATATATTATTTGTGATAACTTACCTGCAGCTCATATAGCATCTTCACAAAATATATATTATTTGTGATAACTTACCTGCAGCTTATATAACATCTCCACAAAATATATTATTTGTGATAAATTACCTGCAGCTTATATAACATCTCCACAAAATATATATTGTGATAACTTACCTGCAGCTTATTTAGCATCTCCACAAAATATATATCATTTGTGATAAATTACCTGCAGCTTATATAGCATCTCCACAAAATATATATTGTGATAACTTACCTGCAGCTTATATAGCATCT